TGCAGATCTCGGAGAGGTCCTGCAGTCTGTGTTATTAGCGATACTCTTCCACTCGGTAAAAGGCGGCAACAGGTGGGTTTACTAGTTTTTTTTATATCTTTCATATAGGAAAGTATGTGGGTACTAGAAGAAAAGAGATAGATCATTAGAATAATGAGTTGAGTTGATTTAACCATGTCCGCCTTCCAGTCTGTCAGTCTCTTTGTACGCAGACGAGTCCCCCATTTTCTTTTCGATATTCCAACCAAACTTGTTCAACAGATGCATTTTACATTCAAACTATCATTTGTTGGTAACGAACAGATTGGACCACTGTCACATATTGGTCAAGTGACAAGTCATCCAATAATTTTGATTTAATTTGAAGGCTTTGTTTACCATAGTTAGAATTATTCGATTTATGATAAAAATACACCGTTTTGCTCGATAATTTCTTGCCGTCTTGAAGGTAATTTCAGTTTGTCTCTTTCGTAGAAACATTTGGACCTTATGAGCAAGAAATTGGGTAACCAATTTTCATAACCTTCTCTTGAGTCCAATTCTTCAACAGCCAAATCTTTCGCCATAGACAGGAGCGAACGGTAAACACTTAGTGCAGATGTATGTATAAGATGTATAAGAACCCCCCAAATAAGCTCTCGAAGCTTTTGGCGAGTCACTATCGTTGTATGTGGTCTGACGTTGTCCTTATGAACCACAATTCTCCTCCTGTTGGCACTTATTCGCGATTACTTCCTAGAGACGGTCATATCGCTGAGAGTATAACTCAAAGTTTGGGTGCAATGAAGCTGCTCAAAAGGAATGTTTCCTTGGCAACTCCACCAAGCACATAGAAAAACCTTCCACGCCAATAAAGTCAATAATGACTTGGAGATCGTTTATGTTGGTTCACTGCCCTTCGAATGCAACCGATTTCATTTGTAGTTGTTGTAAGTGATCCACTTTCCATAGGCTTCTACTTCAGAAATGAGTCGATTTTGTTACGATTCATTAATGTAGCACCCATGCACCGGGATTTTCTGTTTGTGTAGCCTTTTTTTCATATGTTTAAACGGTTGTCTTTGCGATGTTTAGCTCCTGGGCAAACAGTGCTTGCTTGACGGTCAGACTCGACGATTTCCATTATTTTATCAACATTTTTGACAATTGGACTTCCACGCTGTGGAGCACCAAAATTACCGGATTGAAATCGATGAAAACAAAATTGTGCATAAACGACAGTTATAGCACTAGAGCCATAAACACCATGCACATTTTCCTCCTGACTTGCGTATTCGCCTTTATCGAATAAGAAGAAAAGTTGCGAATTTTCTATTTGCGGGTGTCCATCGTTGACATGCGCTCAAACCGAACACCGCTGATTTAAGTGAATCACTTTTCGCCTGTTTTCCTTCTTTGTACAAAATATCACCTTTCTAACGCCATTTACCGTAATCCAATCGCACTTATAGAACGCGAGATACTTGTCGCTACAGCCATCTATTGCAAGTGGATTACTTTTTACTGGGCAAATTGCTTCCCGGCTTAGATTTACACATATAATACTTTAGTTATGGATGGCGGTCACCGTCAAGTCGTGAGCAGCTTAACTCCGGTTATTTATATTTACATTTTCCAGGAAGAGTCTTAGAAGTGAAAAAGCGACTAATCTCTGACTACACTTGATACGCACTGCCCACTGAGTCAATTATATAACGAGAAATATAATATTTTGCATTAGTTTGAAGGGCTTTAAGTCATTCTTTTTCTATCACCTCCTTTATAAAACCAATTCTCAAATCTAAATCGAACGAAATACACAAAGCAACAAAAACTTGTGACTGAGTTTAATATAATTCTACAAGTATACCTACAAATTCCCTAATTTCCGATTCATCAATGCAGACTGTGGGTTGTGGGGGCGCTGATTCCACTCCTCTACCACCACATTTTCTTTTAGCGGACACCTTTTACAATTAATTGAATCGTCGAAATTAGTCAATTAAATTTCATAAATTTTCATCTACTCACTAATATCTTTATTTTAACAAATTTTGGTTTTGTTAACGAAAATGGGAGCACTTGGTAACAAAACCTATGTCTTTTGTTCCCCATTTTCAAATAACTGAAGTTTTTCCAACACGAATTTGCAACTTCGCCGCCCATCAAAATGTCAAAACTGTGCGTTCTAATTGCAAGTTTTACTAGATTTTGCACAAACGAATGCGATTTAGTAACGCCTGATGGTAATTGGTACGTGCCAAGAAAGTTACTTATACGCCACCACCTCTCTATATCTCTTAAGTTGAATTCAGCAAGTGGTTGGTTAATGTTCAGACAGAATGGTATTACTAAGGAGTTATTTGGATTAATTAAAGTTGAAGGGTTCACATTTGACAATGTATTCTTATAGCTTGTACCATGAGAAAAATATCGTATGATAGGCTTCAATTTGAATAATTTTAAGTATTTCAACTTGATCGTTTAGTTGTTCAAATTGGCCGGTACTTTTTATATTTATGTGGCAAAGTGAAACGTTGAGTAAAATACAATAAATTATATTTTTTGTAAAAATATATATGTTTTATATTTAAATTAATTTTCTATAACTTGTGGTTGTTGGTCGCACCACAATTTGAACCTTCCGAATGGCAGTACACAATGTCAACCACGCGGCTACCACGGACGACGAAATTTAATCTTTTTAATATTGCATTTCTATTAAATTCTGATCCCTTTTTGGTTGATATAATTTTTGCTTTCACTCACCCTGTTTCATCAACGACAATTGTGTGAAAGTTCTATGATTTCGTTAATTCGGAAAAGCACAATCAGCTCTTCACTGACATGTTTGAATCGCTCTGCTGGTAAGCCGCTTTTTGTTCTTTAAGCTGACAATCGCAAATTGAACCTCATCATGGATTGGAGTTTTGGGTTCGCCTTCTCTGGCTGCTGCACTGTCGGAGAACTTCGCTCTACACAACAAGTATGCTTTGGGCAACCTTCACCAGATCCGCCTACGAATGACCGATGCATTTATATAAGTAGCTTTAATTTCATGTCCGCTGAACACTTGGCTATTGCGGCCGGCACATGAAAAATATACTCCAATAAAAAAAATCCAACAAAGCCTCGGTTGAGTGTTCTTTGCTTGACTTTCTGAAATAAAATATGCATGGCATGAGCTGGCTGACAGCCTTCGTAATTTCTCTGTGAGTTGGCTGAACCTTTATACGACAGGGAGAATATCATTTTAAAATACATTTCTAGAAAAATACGAATTCATAAAAAGTGAATGTAAATCGGTCATCTATGGATAATAGAATTAAGTTGACGATTCTTAGCGAAGGAGAGGAGATAGATCCAACACAACTTATACCGATCGTTACAGAATGACGCGCTGAGTTAATTTCGCCATGCTCGTCTCTGCGTCTCTTTGCATGCAAACTAGTCCCTCAGTTTCAATCTCACTTACTCGCTAAGCAAATGTATTTTTTTGCTGTATACTGACCAGATCAGACTATTATAATATATACTTCTCCTTCACTGGAATAGATACCGCTCAGGCGATTATAGCCGAGTTTCATTCCTTCTTTTCGCTGTTTACCGACATTTTTTTTTTTACACAATTTATTTATTTAGTGTAACTGCTTGAATATAAGCCAACAGTAAGTGTACAAAATTATTTATAGCCAGATCCTCATCATCTGCTTCCACCTATGAGTAACTACTGCATCGAAAACTTTCCAAGCTAAAGTATCTTTATCCATTAGCACCACATGAACTAGACAGCGCCAGACACCGTTTCTTGATTCGCTGTACTATGTCCTTGTCGTCGGCTATCTCGTCCAGCACATCGGTCGGTCGGCTACGATATACGCCTTTACCTACTCGAAGACGATCAAAACCTTTCTCCTAAAAAAAACTCCTAACGCCGACTCATTAGCTGTGGTTATCATGTCTCTGGAGCATATATCAGGAGGGGAGTGATAAGTGACTTGCAGAGTTTGGTCTTTGTTCGTCGGGAGAGAACTTTACTTTTCTATTGCCTACTCAGTCCAAAGTAGCACCTGTTGGCATGAGTGATTATGTGTTGGTTTCCCAAATTGACAATACTTCAAAAAAGCATCTAAGAACATGAATTTTTATATCATATACAAATAGCGCATTGACACCGAAAATCAGCAAAATCGGACCACAAAATATATACGATTGTTCACGTATGAAAACCAGTATTTAATTCTAAAAAGAACTGCCCAAAATTTCATATGGTGGCTATGAAAGCTATAAAGACTTTGGCATGACCGAAGTCAGTTCTTTTTGCTTGTTTTTCTATGATATTTGCCTGGCCGTCAGTGTGGACGTCCATTCTCATTCCATTGGTTATAAAAATAGAAACCGAGATTATTTCAATTAAATCATTGATTAAATTGTCTAACACGACTTACATGACGGTAACATGTTAATAATAAATAAAGCACTTTTTCATATATTTTATCTCAACACATGCATGTAAATCAAAGGCACAATTGCAGTATTGCAGCTTTCGCGAAAATCAAGCATTGGGACAGCAGGAAAAAAAAAGAATAAAAAATATGCAAAATCAGTGCATATGAACTGAAATAATTGAAATAAATAATAAATATGCAAATTTCTATAATAGTTTGACAATTGTGTGCGGACAACTGCAGTTCTTCCGTGCATTTATTGCATTCAAGTTTAAAAATACTGACCATCAACTATGCGCGCGAGTATGCTTTGGCGCTACACACATCGTTACGTATACGCTATATACACAATTTAGACACACATACAAATCACATACAAATGTATGTATGGGTCTATGCAATAATATTGTTTACAAGAATGATAAAAAATTACAAAAAAAAAGGAAAAGAATAAATTTGCACTTTGTGCCCACGAAGAATGTGAAAGCTCTTGTGCGCTAACTTTTATACGCGCGCGCACGTGTGTGTGTGAGTAGTACAACGTAAACTGCTAAAATAATAAAAACTGTCGTAGATAAAATATGTATGATCAAATAAGATTTAGTCATTATATGCATGTGCTCAGCAGTAGGCATTGTCGGTTAGGCGCACGAATAAATAGATTTGAAAGTGGATTTCTGTGCCGGACGGTTTTGTTTTTCATAATCACAAGTGTTGGATAAAAAAAATTATTATTTAATACATTAAATTTATTTAAATATTTAATACATATATTCCTCCTCGTAAAATATCTGAAATCAATAAAATTTGCTTGAAAAATATAAAAAAACAAACATACATACTCTCGCACATACATATATAATACGTAATAAGCAGAGCTAAGTGAATCAGCTGTAGCGAATTACCTGCATGTTAATACATACTGACTGCATGAGGTAATCTCATTGTGTGTAAGACAAAACAGGCAACAAGGCCAATACCGGTCGAATTCCAAGACTTATTAAGTTTAGATTTTCAATTAAAAAACTCACTAAAACCAGCTAGAAATGTGTTTTTGAATTCGATTTTCAAGTGTTTGCGAAAAAATGTGCTTTGAACATTGGTTTTAAATTTTTTTCTTATTTTACAAATACATACATACATACCGAATAAGTGCAATATATAATATAAAATACCATATATACATATATACAGAAGCAAAAACCTTGTGCTACAATTTATTGTGTGTACATACATACATATATACAAGCGTTTGTAAGATTACATTCATTTAAGTGTGTACTTATGTAGAGATGTGTATAGATAAAGTGTAATAAAATTAATTTTATTTCAATATTTGTACAAACAAAGTCCAGACAGGAGGTTGTGAGTCTGATTTCTTATGATTTTTATTAAAAAATTTTAATGTTCATTTCTCAGTAAGTTAATGGCGCTCACTCTTATGATACTTGAACTTGACCTTGCTCAACATTGGTTTCGTGGAAAAAGAAAAGTAGAAAATAAGAAAAGTAGAAGCTGTACTCAGCCAAGCCAAGTCTTCATGCCTTTCATTTTAGATTTAAATAATAGTTCCTTTTCTGGAAAATTGGCCTGAGCTCGTTTCTGAGGTGAAGTTTTCTGGTTTCTATAATTTTCGGTGTCAATGTTTATTTGTATATACACGTATGTATATTATATACATATATATATCGAATTTCACACTTCTAGATGCTTCTTTAGTGGATTTTTTTTAATATAAAAATCTCAAATCTGAACAAATCTGGTGGTATGGATGCTATCTGATATAGTCCACCGATTTCAATTATTGGGTTGCCCAAAAAGTAATTGCGGATTTTTGACAAAATTTTTCAACGGCTTGTGACTCTGTAATTGCATTCTTTCTTCTGTCAGTTATCAGCTGTTACTTTTAGCTTGCTTTAGAAAAAAAGTGCGCGAAATTTTGTTTACATTTGTTTGTTTGGCGTCAATTTTAATATGGAGCCTACAAAGGAGCATTTTCGTCATATTTTACTTTATTATTTCCGTAAAGGAAACAACGCGGAGCGGGTTGCTAAAAAGTTACGAGATGTGTATGGTGATGAAGCCTTAAAAGGAAGACAGTGTCAAAATTCGTTTCGTAAATTCCGTTCTGGAGATTTTTCACTTAAAGATGAGCCACGTTCAGGTCGGCCAAATGAAGTTGATGATGACCAAATCAAAGCATTAATCGAATTGGATCGCCATGTAACTGAGCGTGAGATAGGAGAGAAGTTAAATATACCCAAATCAACCGTTCATTATCACATAAAAAGTCTTGGACTGGTTAAAAGCTTGATATTTGGGTACCACATGTATTGATAGAAATTCATTTAACACACCGAATCAACGCTTGTGATATGCACCTTAAACGCAATGAATTCGATCCGTTTTTAAAACGAATCATAACTGGAGATGAAAAATGGATTGTTTACAACAACGTTAGTCGAAAACGATCATGATCCAAGCATGGTGAACCAGCTCAAACCACTTCAAAGGCTGATATCCACCAAAAGAAGGTTATGCTGTCTGTTTGATGGGATTGGAAGGGTATCGTATATTTTGAGCTGCTTCCAAGGAATCAAACGATTAATTCGGATGTTTACTGTCAAAACTTGGACAAATTGAATAAAGCCATCAAGGAGAAGCGACCAGAATTGGTCAATCGTAAAGGTGTCATATTCCACCAGGACAACGCTAGACCGCACACATCTTTGGTCACTCGCCAAAAACTGAGTGAGCTTGGCTGGGAACTTCGGTGTCAATATTTATTTTTATATAAGTGTTAAGAATACCAAATTTCATGTCATCTTAGGGCCTCTTCAATATCACATGTATCGTTTTATTGAGCATACTGTGTGAGAAGACTAAAGCCCGACGTCAACGGACTGATTGAACCTTATTAGTGTTGCTTGACTAAACATTCAAATCTCTGAAACCAGCATTCGACAGCAAGGAAAGAAGCTGCATCTTCGTCGCTCTTTTTGAATTTGATATAGCTGCAAAACGTATACGAATGGGTAAACTTACGTTAAGCAAAGCACCCAAAGCTCCCTCAGGATCGAGAAGGACCTCGGAGATGTTCGGTACCAGGCAAGGTGATTCCTCGTCGTCCGACTTCTTTAATTTATTACTGCAGAAAATAATGCGAGCTGCGCAGCTGAGTAGAACTACTGGCGTACGCCGTTGATATTGACACTATTCACCTCAATAAACTCGCCATGAGTTCTTCGTTCTCCAAACTCAATAAAAAAGAAAGCGAAGCGTAGAGCGTGTCATCAAACAAACTATCATCGTATTAGCCAGCTCTCAAGACACCATTGACAGTCAAAATGTCAAGGTCGTAGGTAATTTTGTTTATCTAGGAACCAACATCAATAACAACGTCAATCGAACGCAGGATCCCCCCCCCCCCCTGCCTGCAGTAAGAGGCGACTTAGATCCCGCAACAGTGGGGTCTTTATACCAGAACGACCCTGTTTTTTATCCGGCCAAAGACTGTCACTCTCGCAACATGGTTACAACAACAACAACAATAACAACGCAGAATCACACTTCATAGGTTGAGTAGGCAATTGAAAAGTAAAGTTCTCACCCGACGAACGGAAACCAAACTCTTAAAGACGCTTATCGTTCCTGCCCTGCTATATTGTTACCGAATGGCCGAAAGCACTCTAGTTTTAAAAGTATTCGATGCCGCTGGTGGAGGTAGAGCGAGGGGAAGACCTCCACTCCATTGGTATGAGCGAGAGAAGTGTCCTGCTTTCACTTGATATTTCCAGCTGGCATGAATGGCGCGATATTGTTTATTCGGCTATAAATAAGTAAGCGGTGACTAAGCAAATAATGAAGAAATAGAAGAAGAAAGCAACACTAATAAAGATCATTCGGTTAGTTGATGCTGACCTACAACTTTTGCACACAGTATGCTCGCTAAGACTTTATATATGATATCACGGTGGTTTATCCCATGCTAATCCGCGCAGATTGTAAAAGTGGACAGAGCGCACTAAGATTCCAATAGTCGGTCGTTCTTTCATTGCACTATATTTCGCAAGAAAGATGGTGAGTGCACCTTGTCAGGTCTTCGCAACCATATTTGAACAGCTCAGCTGGTAAGCTATAGATTCATAAATTCCGGATGGTGGACGTTCGCTACTTTACAGCAGGCTGGAAATGTCTTCTCTCCACAAACTCAATATGATCTGGATATCGGTCACCGATTATCTTCGTAGATCGTGGATGTGTATGCTCTGGTATTGAAACGTCTTAAAGTCCAGGCAGGTTTATTTACAACGAGAAGTTTGCTTTTGTAACGAATACAGCACACGACATACCTCTTATGAAGCTTCTTTTCTATCAGTTGCGAAACGAAACGCCCTACAGATCAGTTACCGAATATTGTACAAGTGTGCAAGACTGGCAAGACATTGGCATGGCATTCGCTAATTTCACCACTCAAAGAGAGAGAGAGAAAATATATCTTGATGAAAAGGAGTAAGAATAATGACCCCAATCCTCAGATCTCCTTAAGGTTTTATCTAGTAGATGCATATGTACGTATATATAATTGACATTTTGTAACCGCTGTAGGGGATTTCGGTCGATTTCTTCTTCCAATTTGAGGTTTGTGTCTTGATGCTTTTCCAACAGTTGGAATGACATTAAGTTTGTTCATAGACGCTTTCGAACGGCTGATGGATTTTTGTGAGGAGCGAAATACACTCGGAGGGGTTGACATTACCTGCTGAGGGCTGGTCGCAGTTTTATTTAAATTATCATAATTTTCTGTAATTTTGGATGTTGGTTTGACTCAAACCCAGATCCTGCGCATGGTAATATCCATTTGGACAGATCTTTATATCGGAAAAGACTGAAGTTTTATTCGGTATATTTTCGAAAAATATATTTCTGCGGTAACAACGAAATTTTTTTTGGTGAGAAATCGGTATAAAACAAATTATGAAAAAAGCATGTATTCAAATCACATTCTGCTTCCGATGTAAACACTATTAACCAATTAACCAATTAATTTTGTAATAATCAATTTCCTTTGAGTTTATGCCATCGGCTGTTGTACTGTATTACATACGTGTACTCATACATATTGATTATAATTGTTTTGGTTTGAATAAATTACTTCCTTCTCTTACCTTTTTTCTCCACAGAGTTTTACTAGTTGCGCTTACATTCTGGGAAAGACTATTGCTCAAGAGTACCATTCAAAGAAAGAAAGCACATTAGCATGCTTTACTCAATGTACTGTTATTTATCGAATATTCCACGTTGGCATGCACTGGCCTTTGCTTTGGGCTCCTATGTAGTCTACTATTTTATACAAGTTGTTAAGGTAAGAGCTTCAGTTATATATGTACATAAGTAGGAAGAAAGTTCCCCCTACTAAGGAATGCCTCATTTCGCAGCGTCCCATACTAGCTTGTGCTGATGGGCCGTTCAAGGAGTTCCTACAGCGCAATGTACCAACATTGGAAATGAAATTTTGGCCCACATTTTGGTGTGTCGAAAGTCGAGCACAAACCGTTTTCGCCAGCATACTGCGTTCACAAATCATACCTAACCTCAATTATAGAAGGTATTGTAATTCAACTTAAATATGGAAGAATAAATTAGCCATAAAAGTTTTGCTTCGCAGAGAAATCCTCACATTGAAGGATGGCGGCGAAGTCGCTTTGGATTGGCTGGAGGAGAATTGTGGCGATGATGCGCCATGCATAATTATACTGCCCGGTCTGACGGGTGAATCGCAAGCGGAGTACATTAAATGTCTTGTGATTGCAGCGAATAATGCCGGTATGCGTGTAGTGGTATTTAATAATCGCGGTTTAGGCGGCATTGAACTGAAAACCCCGCGTCTTTATTGCGCCTCCAATTGTGAAGATCTCTCCGAGGTGGTGCATCATGTGCGAAAAAATTTAGCCGCGCATTGTAAGCTGGGCGCTGCCGGTATTTCTATGGGTGGCTTGATTTTAGGTATTCAAATTATATTTTAAAATTTTTAATTATTATAATATATTTTCAATTTTTTTTTACAGGAAACTACTTGGTCCGGAAGAGTGATGAGGCACGGAAATGCCTATCGGCGGCTAAAATCATATCAGCGCCTTGGGATGTTCACAAAGGTACACATGCTCTTAGGTATTTGTTCATGTGAAACTTCTAAAAATAGTATGTTTACCTCAGGTACCGCTAATATAGAGAAGCCAATACTGAACAGCTTACTTGGCCGTCATTTAGCCAGCAGTCTTTGTCGTACTCTTGATAATTGCAAAATTTATAAGGATCAGGATATCGATTTGGATCGCATTATGTCGGTAAGTAAACAAAAAAAAAGCAGCATTGAGATGAGAACGAGATGAGATGAGAAAGAGCGATTACTTCAAGTAGAGAACACGTGCTACGCCTAACTTTGTGACTTTGAGGCAACATCGAGTGTTTTCAACCGAGAGATTGTAAATGTGGATGCCAGTAAAAGCGAAAGTAGGTTTTGCCGCTCTGTATGTCCCGACCGCGTGGTCGCGGGGTATATCCTCCGTCTATGCACCTACAAAAATACTGTAATATTTCAACGGTTAATCTGCTTACACTCTAAGGGCCGCAGCAGGCTATGTTAGGTTATACTGGCTGACTGGTATACCTTAAATATACCTTTTGGTCGTTTGTAGTGACATATGAAGGTATAATTCTTGGCAAAGTTGTCATTGCGTCAACTCTGTTGCGAAATTTAAGAGGATCATCACAACCAGTTTTGAAACTTACTCTATTCTTATAAACAGTTAAGCTTCCAGATGTTTAAGACTTTATCATATCATCAGCCAAGCGAACAGCTCAACCTACAACACCTACTTCCGTGCGTATTAATGACTGAACTTCGGATGCTGGGCCGAAAGCATCCTAAAAGCTTACAGACTAAGAAGAAATACCACAATTTTCACATAACTTCCATTGTGCTTTAAACATTATTTGATTACTTTGGTCGGCATATGTCCTCACTGAACTTTCGCCGAGGGTACCAGCTGGTAATAACTAAGAATCACTGTCGGCCTAGCTTTCACGTCTCTAATAACATTCAGCCAAAGACCAAATTAAACAGATGCTCCATAGCAGATTCATTATTTGGACGCTGATTACTGCAACAATGTGCTGATCCGCCTAGTACGCTGTATCCTAAGAACGAATAAATTGTTGTTGGATTTAGAAAGTAAGAGAGTATATGTTGTAGCTAATGCTGACGATGTGGTGTGGCTCTTTTGGTTAGTTCTACATTTCCATAAACCCTAATAAATCTTATGAGAACAACCCTAAATGATATAAATCGCTACCTACTTGGCCGCAATATCAGAGTGATTCGGAAGGCCAAGGTTCGTGTCCTGGTTCGACCAACATCCAAAATTACAGAAAATTAATTATTTTATTGTGGTCGCCCTTCGGCAAGGATGGACAAGCCCTCCGAAAGTATTTTTGACATAAAATAAAAAGCTGCTTTTAAAAATCCCTCGTATTTTCTGAGAAAGTTTAGAATAAACTGTTAATTGTGGAGGGACCTATGTTGTTGATAAAACATGAAAATTCACACCACAAATCGGAGGAGGAGCTCGGCCGAAAATCGTTTCAGTCTATTCGCCAATTATTATTAGTATTATTACTTATAAAATTATGGTAGGGGCCGAATGAGGACTTAGTTCGCGTGTTACTCGTGGCAGTAAGGCATGTCTATCGTAAAAGACGATAAAAATCCAAAAGTTCACGCGATAGTCCAGTCCATATACTCGAACGACCCGTATTTTTCAAGCCAAGGACCGTCACTTCCGCAACAAAAAAAAACTACTTTGGAGCATGATTTCTGGGAGATAATAACAACAAAAACTCTCGGATTTCAATAACACAGAAAGCAAAGCGCCTTTGAAATCATTAATGGGATCCTAAGATCCCATCAAACACAGTGAAATATTGTCTTCATTTGTTAATGGGACTAGCATCTTACTACCCTAAAAATCTGCAATGGGTTCCAGAACACAAAGATATCATAGGTAACTGTGAAGCAGATGCACTAGCTAGAAGGGAGCACTTTATGCCAAGAATAAAAGTATTGTAAATGCATACATGTGACGCTGGATACGTGTAAATAATATTTTTAATTGAATAATATATTAAAGTTAAGAAACAACCCCTGACTTTCGACTATCGTCCTCGGAAGTTGTACGTATAAAACTCATCAAATACATTTTTTATAAATTTGAGAAATTAATTCTTGTTTTAAAAGTATCAACTTTTCATATTTTTAATAATATTTATTTTTCCCCAAATAATCATTTTAATTCTTCAGTGCAAAACCATAAAAGAGTTCGATGCGCTTTTCACCTCAAAACAATTCGGTTACGCCCATGTCGATGATTATTACAGCGATGCCACACTACACAATAAATTGCATTACATTTCGGTGCCTTTGTTGTGTTTGAGTGCTGCCGATGATCCATTTCAGCCATTAGATGGTGAGTAGGGCATTGAATGTTGTTGCCTATACCTACGAGTACGTATATATGTATATAAACATGTTTGTATGTTCATTTGATTTAGCTCTACCCATCAAAGCCGCTGAGGAATGCACACACGTAGCAATTGTGGTCACTGCGCGTGGCGGTCATATTGGCTTCCTAGAAGGCTGGTGGCCATCTCCCAAGGAACAGTATATGGGACGTCTCTTCACGGAATTCTTCACGAAAGCGCTCTTCGATGAGGATGGTCACTTTGAACGTACACGAAATGAGTTGCATCAACGTTTTGATGATAAAAAAATATCCCCCCTTCAAGCACCCATACCACAGGCCATTTCGAAGGTGACTACACCGTTATTGAGCACCGAAGAGTTGGTGGAGAAATTCATGGAGATGTAGTTGGAGCATTTATTGTTGGTCGAGGAGTTTAAGGCCGGAGGAAAATGCAATGTACCTTAGCTATCGTTGAGCTAACAAGTGATACTCATACACACACATACGTATGTGCATACATATGTAAACACATAATTAGCGAATGATTTGCACCAAAATTAAATGTGATTAAATGAAAAGAGACATATTCTAAATTAAATACATACATATATACATATACGCATAGATATATTGTAGCTAATATTAAAACGTGTTCTTTCTTTGTTAAAATTATACTGTAATAATTTAGCGGTAAAATTCTAAGTTGTAGTTTTAAATAAATAAATATAATAACTCTAAATATCAGATTTAAAAAAATAATACACATTAATAATTTAATAATGTTATTAAAACCAATAATATTATACATAAATATTTAGTAAAATAATTTTTAAAGTTAAAAAAAAATTCTTTAAACTAACGGCAATATATACTATTTACACATCAGATATCTAATATCACAGTCGGTGATATGTTTAAAAAAAATTTGTTTGGAATTGTGAAAAATACAAAAAAATTAAATTATCTGTAGTGTAATAATTAACACTTCATTGTTGTAAAAAAATAATCTTCATTTGCTGATTTTTCAAATTAGAAAATTTGAGGGAACGGTAAACTCTTTCTCTCCTTCTTTCTCTCTCTCCCTCTCTCTCTCTCCCTCTCTCTCTATCTCTCTATCTCCCTCTCTCCATCTCTCTCTATATTTTTGTCTACCTCTTTCTCTCCTTCTCTCTATCTCTCTCTTTCTCTCTCTATCTCCTTCTTTCTATCTCTCTCTCCCTCCCCCTCTCTTTCTCTCTTTCTCTCTCTCTCTCTCCCTCTCTCTTTCTCTCTCTCTCCCTCCCTCTCTCTCTCTCTCTCTCTCTCTCTCTCTCTCTCTCTCTTACATTGACGTAAGGGTTCCAATAGGTTTTTAAAACGAATTGTGTACACGACTTCTGGGGCTTTAAGCTAACTATCCTTTAGGGGCAAGCTAAAGTGGGTTGTGCACAGAGTCAAATGGCCGTTCGATTTTTATGATGAACTTGTCATAAGTACACTCGAAGGTCTTGACATTCCTTTCCGAGGTCTTAGCGCAATAAGAAAAGTGAATTTTCTATATTTTTGGATGTTTTGATCAAATCAGGATTCGAACCCTGGTATTTCGCATATTAGTTTAGTCAGATCAAATATTAACACGATAGAACCGTCTCTGTCGAGAGATCGCTCTGCAAACGTTTTAAGAATCACGATTTCAGAGCATGTACCTTTTCCCTAATATTTGATTGGTCCCGCTGCGCAACTGGTTGATATCACCATAGGACTAAAGGCTGACATTACCGGCGTCCAACAAGTGTGAAGAATGAAACTGAGACAAAATATTATAAAATCTTGTGAAATCAACTCCTACTATATAAAGTGGCATAAATTCGGTGTTAAATTTATGGTAGAGAGAGACTTCGTCTTCTTGGTATGAACGTCTAGTCCTATTTCTCATTAAAGCGATATTTTTCAAAAAATATTTGTGAGAGGTTCCCGAAGGATGGTTTCTATGAGTGCCTAGAATGCACCTACCTATGAGCCATTGCTTCACTTGCTCACTTCACGATTTCAAAATTGTGCTTGGCACGATTCAGCCTCCATAACGAAACCAATTCAAACGGACTGAGACTGATCGACTTCGATGGGGCCGAAATATAATTGCCTTTAGACATTTCAATAATCTTCTAGATGTGGCGCTCTTCCACTACGTAATATTGCCTTGTATCTTGAAGCGGTGTTGTTGGCTTCCTTCTTATCGCCGCTAGAGAGATGATTGGTTGGCGTAGAGAGATCGAAAGGTGTGAGTGTTAAGAGCTTGGGATGCCGGCGGAGGTAATGAAAATTCTATGAATAGAGGGGCGACTTACGGGAAGTTTCAAGACCGGAGCAATTTCACATAGGAACGCAAAGGGCAACCTAGTGACCGAGAAGGTTTTTCCAACCTGCTGTATGACAGTGAAATATCCGGATGTCCAATCAATGGTGATGAATGATCAAAGATTGACAAAACGGCAGGCGGCTACGAAACAATTTGAATATGGTGGAGAAGAACTGAACAGATGTATGCATCAACTTCTTTGAAGAATATGAAGGTATGCCTATGACTATGGGAACCTAATATGCTCTGCTCAATCGATAGAAAAGAGGACTTCACAGTCTCTGAAAGATGTGGTGGGATAAACCACCTCAATATAGGATATAAGGTAATATCTATCGTATTGCGTAAAAGACTAAAGACCACCTTCAACGAACTGTTTGGATCTTTTCAATGTGACTTTAGACTAGATATGCAAAACACGTTAAATCTTGGAGAAAATGATCGATAAAGAATAATCTTTTCAATTTCAAAGCAGCCTTCGGTAGCACGAAAAGGAGCTGTCTGCATTTGGTATCATTGCAATGCTTATACGGCTAAATTCGGCTTCCTTCAAGGTGGATAAGAAAGCAACGCAAATTAATCTAGTAGTAAGCGAGGACAGGAGGACTGTCATTAAACACTTTCGGGTAGTAGCTGTTGGCCATCATAACATTGAATTCATGAATAATATCTTCTTTCTGGTAACCAGGACTTTGTAGTCAATTATAGAATAAAATTCTCGTTCAGCGTATAGAAACCAAACTCTACTGTCGCGATCCTGCTATACTATTTTTCAGATGTGTGGATGATGTCGAGGCCGATTAGTTGGCGCTTGGAGTTTTCAAGAGGAGGTATTTTCGAATTATTTATAGATCTTTACGAGACATGTACCGACATTAACATGGTTCAGTGAATTAAGAGACGGAGAATGAAAGCGTTTCGATGCAGTGGCCACTGTTGGAAGTAGAGCGAGGGAAAGAATCCCCGTTGAAGGTATTAGATGGAGAGCGATCTGGTTTCGATAGGTATTTCTGATTGGCGTCAAGCAACGAGAGGAAGAAACGGTGCCTATGCCAATGAAATAGTAGGAGAAGAATTATAATAATATTCAGTGATGCAACGAATAATTTTTTCTCACGTCATTGCTATGTACAGTTTAATGTTGGTTCGTATTGACTGACATAGTTCAAAATTCTTTCAAAATATTTTTGAAATAAATAAAAATATTTATGGTTCGACTTATTTGCATTTCGATACGTGGGTGGCTTTTTGCTAAGATTAACAGAAAGACTACTCCGGGGAGTGCACCAAGGTCTTCGTTTGTAAAGATCCGCATAAAATTTTGCCTGATTGTTTCTATGGTTTATGGAGAGGTTTACATAAAAAACCCTTTCAGGAAATATATCAGGGACTAACCTATTCAAAAAAATTGAGATCTGGAACCAAGTTCATTTTGTTCAAATTAAAAAACAATACTCTCTTTACGGCAAAGGTATCACCGATAGATTGACAAAAATCAGTATGCTTCGGATATAAGAATATATATATATTGTTGTTGTTGTTGTTGTTGTAAGCGTAAAAATTATTCCCAGAAGTATTTTTTGGCAAATGTTGCGGGAAAGTTAGCCCTTGGCTGGATAAAAATCCGTGTCATTCCGTCGTAAAGACCCGACTGTGGCGGGAACTATTGGATTTTCGTCGCCTCTTACGACAGGCATGCCTTACCGCGGGTAAATTCTTGAACTCCTAACCCGCAGGGGTTATAAGAATAGATCGTGTGTAGTTGTGTTTACTCTACCCCTGCGGATTATAAGTATTTCTTATAGCTTCAACTTGAGTGTTAATGAGCATAGATCCGAATGGTGGTGCGCTTGGCTTACTTTGAAGCATTCATATTAACATTTAGTGTGTTCGGCGAGCTGTTGGACAGTAACAATTGGTACTGAACCGCGTTCGGTGAGGCAAAAAGTCAGTAAAATTTGAACTGCAAGAGCGTAAATTTGACATTCCGTTACTGGCTAACTCTTACTGCCTTTTCTCGCCGAACGGAGTTTTTTTTGTGAGAATTTTGAGCAAATAATTAGTTAAATCAATAAGAAAATAAAAAATTTAACATTTTCACTGAGAAGCTGCTTAATTTGGGTCTGCTAGTTTTTTTTTTTAATAAATTTAAGTGAATATTTTAAGGTCTAATGATATTTTTCAAAATTGACGAAAGTTAACTCTGATTATTGAAAATTATTCAATTTTTTACTATTTTTTTGTCAGTCATCGAAATGCTTGAACTGACGGATCTTCTCTCTCTCAAAGGGGCGGTTAATTGTTCTAAGCAACACGGGATATAACTCGAACGAGCTCTTTTCCCACAATCTCATCGTCGTCCATAAGCCTTGGATAGATTTTCCGATTGTCATTTACAACTGTACATATGTACTTCATTTTAAGGATTATCGCAAAATTATTTAATTTTATACTATTTCTTTTTTGTCAGTCATCGAAGTCTTCGATATTTTATTATTGACACATATATATGTATATATGTATATATGTGCCCATGATTTTGAAAGTGGTATAAGTCAAAAATTTTAAAAATCTACTTTATCAGCTTTAACTTGTCAAATCTTATTAAAATAATATAATCTGAAGAAAGTAGCAGCATGCCATTCAAATTAAGTCATTAAAATGCGTTTATTTTTTTAGTTGTTAACTGAAATACAGATATTGTTGGTTTTGATAGTGGTATAAGTCAGTGTGTTCACAAAGTAATTTTATTACGTCTTCAGATAGTGGTTCAGGTAGGATGAAGTAAAACTTTTAATGTAAAAACCTTCTATTTAAAGTTAATTGTAGACATTTTACGGCGAATAAATGGAAATAATGCTCCCAAGAAAAGGAAACGAATTAGAATGATATCCTCTTCTGATGAATCAGATGCAGAACCCATACAAATGGAAGAGCACAAAATGAAATCAAGAAATAGGACACGCAATCCACAGAATTATGCACAAAATATAAGAAAAATGAAGAGATATAGGGGAGAGGAATATGAAACAAAAAACTCTAAGCACGTGAGTGCTAAACTTTTTGAAAATAAAGATTGTCTTTGTTCCAAAAAAGTGTTTAAATGGAATCGGATACGAAGACAGGAAAGATAATTTTGATTATTTTTGGAAATTAGCAAATTTCGAAAAATAGAATCTGTTTCTGTGTGGTTTGATTACAAAGCAATTAATAAAACAAAAACGCCCCAAAAATCACAAAGGATATATGAGAAAATGGAGTCTTAAGTTTCATCTATATGTAAGTATAAGTTCGGAAGTTTCTGTTTGCAAAACATTTTTTTTTGGAAAAATCAAAAATATCTAACGGAAGATTAAGCCGTGCTTTAAATTCTGAAACACCTGGAATGGATGGTCGTGGCAAAATGGCTAGTTCATCTAGAAAAACAGATGAAGAAAAACTTAAAGTAGTACGAGATCATATTCAGAGTTTTCCAGCATGTGAGAGCCATTACAACTAAAAGAATCAACGAATAATAGAAAGAAAAACATCAATGGAGAAGCTGTGCCTTGGTTAAAAATACAATGGATCAGATTTCTAAAAAATGCCCCATATAAGATGTTTTATAAAACTTCCTTGGATGACAACTCCGAATTCAAAGTATTAGACCTCTCACCTAAAAAAGAAAGACCTAGAATATACGGAAATATTGATTTACTTCCATTATACACAACCATTAGACCAATAACAAAAGAAAAACGTAGAGATATGATGGATCTACTACCCTATATTCCACCAATTTTTCACAAACACTTTATTTCTCTAAATACTAATGAATAATTTACGTTGTCACTATGAAATGAGTTTGAATAAAACGTTAATTACTAATAAAATTGTTTCATTTTTGGTATAAGTCATTTATAAAGTCATGAAGATAATTTTGAAAGTGGTCCAAGTCATTTAAACCTTTCAAAACCACATTTTCTTTTAAAAATGGCAATCAATTTCACAATCATAATAAGTATTTGTTTGTTGGGACTACTTTAATGTCGAAAAATCATAATCCATAATGCAAGAATATTTTTTAATCCTTTAAAGTACAAAACTCTAAATATCTCGAAACAAAAAAAATATGACTTATACCACTTTCAAAATCATGGGCACATATATGTGTATATATAAAATTACGGCTTTTACCTGCACATCCGGTTAAACCTTAGGAATAATTATTTAATCATGAAATTTACAGAAAAAAATTTAAACAAAAACAACGCTCGTTACATTTGGCGTTAATAAGATGAGATCTGAATATAAATATGTAAGTACACTCGTATCGATAAGTATCTACTTCCTTTTAATGAATAAGCCTATTTCGCATATTTCCTCGCTCTGCTCTTTGTACACAAGTAAATTTAATTTAATTTTCTTTTTTCTTTGCAAATAAGAAATAATCGTACGTATGTACATAGATATGTACATACCTATGCATTTAGTTATAAATATATTACACCTTCAACACGTTTATAGCATTACTTTGTAATATAGTTTATTAACCATTTATCTAATAACAATACCCAACACTGTTTTTCTCAAATATCGCTCCACAGAGACTTAAAATAAATCGGGTTGGGGGTTGAACTCTAACTTTTCCAACTTTCTTAAAGCATTTTATGCGCTACCGGCCCGAACAAGCTTAGATGGCAATTGGTCTTCAACTTCCTTTTCTCAATTTGCAAAGCCTAGGCTTCTGCAATTGAAGATCGACGATAATTGGAGACACCAAATGAAGCGAAGTTCTCCTCCATCCACGTCTCCAACGAAGGGGAGGTCTTCTACTTCCTCTGCATTGAAAACTTTCAGAGCTCGAGTATTTACTTTCATGCGAATCATATGGCCTACTCAACATAACCACTGTCTCTTAACTCCCTGAACTATTTCAATGTCTCATACCTCATACCGAGCTCAAATTTTTCTCGTCTACTGTTTTCGCTGTCGTTCATAGCCAGTGGTCTACAAGTCTTACACAAAACACTTCTCTCGAAAGCACTTAAACCCGACTATATATATGGCTCCTGCACCATAAAGCGCGTTGTGAATAACGTACGACTTCTGTGTAAGAGCCTGATCTTTGTTCCTAGAAAAGGCGGGCTTACGTTTCATTTGCATATACAGTCTAAAGTAACGCATGTTGTCAAGAAAGATTCTGTGTTGGATTTCAAAGCTGTCATTGTTTTTGGTGATGATGTGAGCCTTGAAAGCAATATAGAGAAGCTTTATTACACGATAACTGATTGACAAAGCACACCAAGGCTCCAATTGTCTGGCATACAATTACTCAACCATTTTGTCAGTTCTTTGACACCAAATTTGTTATACAGTCAATTCCAGCAAATTTGTTGTTCTTCTGGCGAGCAATTGTTATTTGAACTTAGTCATTGCTAGATGATGGAACATCGCCTATAAGGTCCTGTCGAGCATATTGTGTTAAAGACAGAACCCCGCCGTCAACAAACTGAGTGGACCTTATCAGTGTGGCTTCAGACTTGGTAAGTAAACCATTGACCAGATATTCAACATGCGAAAAATCTTGGAAAAAACCCGTGAAAAGAGGATCGACACCCACCACCTAAGCCACTATTTTAAAGTCGCCTTCGACAGCACGAAAAGGAGCTGCCTTTACGTCGCTTTGTTTGAATTTGGTATCCCCGCAAAACTTATCGTGGCTAGATAACACCAGAAGCGCAGTCAGAATTGGGAAGGACCTCTCCGAGCCATTCGATACCAAACGAGGTTTCAGACAGAGTGACTAATGGTCCTTCTCTTTCTCATAAGAGCGGTTAATTGTTCTAGGCAACACGGGATATAACTCGAACGAACTCTTCTCTCACAATCTCATCGTCGTCCATAAGCCTTGGATAGATTTTCCGACTGACATTTACAACTGCTACCGAAAATGAGTGTTGGGTATATAAACAAAGTGCCGCTTTTTCTTAACTTTGTGTCTACTTCCTCTCAGTGACTGTACCATGTACGTGTATGTATGTATTAAAAAATTATTGAAATATTTATACGCCAATTTATTAAGTCAGTATCCGCTTTAAACTAAAGCCTAAGTGCAATGTTAGAATTAGAAAATTCTATTCAATTCAAAACAGACCAGAGAACCGAGCATTATCTTTAATTGTGGGCACACGATTTTTTTCAGTTTCCAAACACTTTTCCAACTTTCGGACCATTTTCCCAGGAAGTGTTAGCGTAAAAATCATTCAAATATGTTTTTCGAATTCTTTGACTCCCCACTTGCTTGGCCAACATTTTTAGCCGCAATTAATATTTATTTCATTTACTATTTTACACAAGTTGTAAAGGTAAGTTTGCTACAACAATCAAAAATAAAGGGTATTTTTTTAGACGTGTGATTTTCAATGAGAGTGTACTTCTTTCCCAGTCGGTTTTTTTGAAATCTGTTACTTAATTTATTTTGTTTCGTCTGTCGCTTCATAAATAAGAATCTTACTCCGGAATAATGTTTGAAAATCGTGAAAGTTTATTACCAAAATAACGGTTCGGTGTCCGGGATGTGTCGCGTCCAATATTCGGCAAACATAATCGGCCAACAGGGTCACTAATTCGAGAAATAAATAATAATTGGCATGTTCAGAATGAGACGGATGACCACGCGCAACAATTGGAGCTGTGTCCTATCCGTACGTTTGTACCTCGAAAGACCATAGTTTGTGGATCGTAGAACTTTTTGCTTTTCTGTTCTATGTCTCATCCTTTAGAAGAAATCGGTCCTCCCGGCCTTTCAAAAAAAACATTGATAAAATCCAAGTCCAAATTATGTAACAAAATAATAATTAAAGAATATTTTTTTATATAAATTAAAGAAATTCTATTCCTTTTCCCATATTCCCACAATAAATTTAAAAAAATTAGTCTTTTTTCAAACCTCCAGAGTGGCTTTACCCCTTAATTGCTGCAAAAAGTGGTCGAAAATTTGGACTATCGGCTGGAATTTATTCAGACCAGCCACGGCGGTCACTCGCCCGAAATCTTTTTTAAAACATAATGGCAAACCATTGACTTGCTAATAAAACTAAATTCTTAAAGAGACTCCTTTACTTTCTTCTTGAAAACCACATGTCTAAAAAAAAAACACCCTTAATAATAATCATATAACAACAAAAATGCTACCCAGCGTCCGCGCCTCATTTGCGCCAGTGGACCGTTTGAGAATTTTTTGGTAGCCAACGTGCGCACGATTAGCGAAAAATATTGGCCCACTTTTTGGTGTTTGGGTGGCGGTGCGCAAACGCTTGTTGCCAATACAATACGACAATGGACTGTACCAAAAGTGAACTACAGAAAGTAAGTTAACCTAAAAACTATAGTTAATATATATCCTCAGTTAAATATATGTATATTTATTTTTCTACATCATTTTTAGAGAGATATTGAAATTAAAAGATGGCGGTGAGCTTGGTCTGCATTGGCTGGAGGATGGTTGCGTGGAAAATTCACCTTGTCTCATCATCATACCCGGTTTTATTGGTGAATCTCAGACGGAATACATGAGAAGCTTGGTAAAAACTGCTAATAAAGCTGGTCTACGTGTGGTGTCATATAATTACCGTGGCTTGGGTGGTGTGGCATTGAAGACCGCACGACTTTATACACTAAATTGTTATGAGGACTTATCGGAAGTGATACGTCATGTACATGGCAAATTGCCAAACGGTTGTAAACTTGGCTGTGCAGCTGTTTCACTGGGCACCTTAATGTTGGGTAAGTGGGCATTCTGAAATCTTTATGTCCAAAAAAAAAAATGTTGCAGAAAGCGGATGGATCGCATGATAGAACTTAACTTCTTCTACTTTACTAGCGTAAACACCGCTTACACGATTAAAGTCGAGTTAGCAACAGTGCCTCATTGCTTTCTTCTTTTCCAAGTGCAACCAGGTTCGCCTGATCTTTTCAACGTAGTGGAGGTCTTCTTCTTCCTCTGTTTCCACCGGTGATTACTGCATCGCACACTTTGACCCATTGGGACAAAATAACCTAGTCGCTGTTGTTCTTGTAGTAGCGGTTTACGACGAACCCTGCTCGAGATTGAGTCTAGATTAGTAGGAATTTAATCTGCAACATTATCCAAACCTGAGTTGAGCCAGTATTACGCGGGACTCTCGAGTCAGCTCGAGCTCTTCGACTGCTATAGGTGGTGGTTTGACGCCGAGAACCATTCCATTCATGGGAAGGGAAGGATCTCTCTTGATTCGCATATCTTTACCAATGTCGCCATATAAGTCGCACAACCCATCCTTCCTTCGCAGGCGGTATTCGCCTTTGGCAATGCGCAAAGAGGCAAAAGTGTACCTTTCTCCCGAAAACTCCTAACGCCAACTCATCGGATTCGATTTTCTCATGAGTTTTTGAGCGTATTTGTAAATAAGTTAGCCCGAATTTATATTCTACTTTGAATTCTTAACAGCACAGAAGGTATATATATACAAATATTAAAAAAATACATTCATTTTAATTCACTTTAGGAGCATATTTGGCTGATGAGAAGGAGGAGGCGAATAAATATCTCACTGCTGCTATGATGATTTCGCCACCATGCGATCTAAAGCTGGGTAAGTAGTTTTTTTTTTAATAAAAATAAATTAAAAAATAATAATTGAAATTATTAATTTTAAAATTAAGTGTTCAGCTCCTCTACATTTTAATATTTTTGTATAAATATGAATATTTTTAGGTATGCAAAGCATGGAAAGGCCATATTTTAATAGATTTTTCAATTATGCAATTATGTGGGAAGTGATAAGAAAATTTGGAAGCTATGATATATTAAAGAAATCAAATATCGACTTAGATTTGATACTAACTGTGAGCAAAAGTAGACCGTAAATAATGCAAAAAATGTATGTATGTAACATAAATTCATTATATATTCACAGAGTAACACAATAAGTGATTTCATAGACAAAATGTTAGTGAAGAGTTCACTATTTCCCAGTTTAGATGTCTGCTATGCAGATGCGAAATTGCATAATAAATTTGAAAATATTTCAACACCGCTATTGTGTATTTGTGGAGCCGATGATATATTCCAGCCGGCGGATGGTATGAAAAACAAGTTTTTTTTTCTAAAAAATTCATATGTAAATATTTTAATAAAACAATTTAACAGCTCTACCATTAGCAGAGGTAAGTAAAAGTTCGTTTGTAGCAATGGTTTTAACGGAGCATGGCGGACATATTGGTTTCTTAGAAGGTTGGTGGCCTTTTCGTGGTGTACAATACTTGGAGAGAGTTTTCGTTGAATACTTTACTAAAACGTTATTCGACAAAGATGGTTCCTTTCAAAAGATTAAAGAACAATTGGGCGTATTTAATTGAATTAAGTGAAACAATAATGATGTTAATTAATATATATGTAGGTAATTAACAATACTGTGAAAAATGTAATTAATATCATTTAAGTCAACAAAACCAAAAGTTTGTAAATTTTCAATTTTTTTTATTACTTTTATGTAATTAAAATATAAACAAACTAAAATATATCTATATAATCAATAACATGCTCCGTAGTATTCATTATTTGTATATAGTTTACTAACACGAACTTGCACGAAAGCTTTTTCCAAATGTTAGTATTACATCTTAAATTTAGTATCGCAATAAGTTTTTCACATGCTAGCTATTGCTGATATTTTGCAAGCAATAATATTAGTAATTTTACAATATTTAGATGAAAGTAACTTCGAAAATATGCTCGAAAACTAGGACTTTGAATACGCGTATAGTTTAAACAATGTATTGTCTCAAAACCTACACCTAAATATGTTCGTATCTATTGTATAACGCCTTAGATGGGCTTATAAAGCAAAGTGGTAACATATTTTTTGCGATAACGATGTGTTGCACTCAATACCATTACACCATCTTTGATAGAGAGCGCATAGAGATGATTAAGCATGACATGATTTGGTTCTGGTAACAACGTTGGTTCACACTGCAATCAATTAGAAATTTGTGTTTATTTGTTATTTATTTTAAATATCCAAATAAAATACTCACCGATAATGGTGTATCTTTATTAAGTATCACTTGTAGGAGATGTGGCGGTAAAACTGGCGGTCCAGAAACCTTTTCCCATGGCTTTGGCTGTGGTACTTCTTGTGAATACTCTCTTTCGGCATAATTTGGCGCATTCTCACTGTCTTTGGCTAATGCCTGAAATACCTCGAAATCTGATTGACGTACTGAAACTAAGTTGTTCTTAATGCCGTCATTATTTTCGATGCTTTTCTGCAAATAAATAAAAAATAAAAGATTTAATGTTAATATATAAAATTGAAAGCTTGTTTGTTAGTGACGCTAAGGCTCGAAAACGGCTCCAATCCATGACGAAATTTTTAGAGGTTGTGCGTTGTGGATCTGGGAAGTTTTATACTTTTCCTGAGCAAAAGTCGGAAAATTGGGAAATTCCATCAAGTAACTTTTTTCTTAAATTTTTTTTTTTAATTTTTTTTCAGATTTATTTTCTTTTTTAGTTTGTCTTTTCTTTCTTTGTTTATTCGAACAGTTTCGTTTGTTGGTGAATATAACTAACCTCATTTCCTCTCATATAAAAATATTAGGTACGTTTGTAAGAATGCAGAAATTTCCAAAAGTTACCGACCGATTCACTTAAAATTTCGTCAGATTATTTCTGTTTCCTGCATTTTCGAAAAAAAAGTTAAACTATGCCTCTCTCCGGAAGTGGACCAATGTCAATGGTTAAACCAAAAATGTTGTATTTCCACAAGTATTGGGTGAATAAAGTTATTATAAAAATATATACCGTGATTCATTTTCCATACATTCAATAAATATATGCGACAGCGAAGCGTTGTAGGGTACAACTAGTACATTATAATTTGATTTCTGCTGAATGTGGTTTTGAAACGCGGAGGTTTTGAATAACAGAAAAACTTATAAAAAGTCAAACAGGGCAATAAACCTCATTTTTAAGATGATTTAAAGAATAATATTTGATGTGCAAAGATAAGTAATGATAAACCCACGTTGGTTTTTAATTTGAGTGTTATCGTTTTTATAAGACACTTCAAACCTTTATCATTGCAATTGAATTACGTTGAAAAAATAAAAGTGCAAGTAATCCGAAGTGTAATCCAATCTGTTGAAAAACAAGTTCGCGCACATCGTATGTACATATTTAGCGAAGTGCGGTTATGTCTGTCTATAGGAATGTACTCTATTTGAGATAAGTTAATCTGTATAAGCGAACTGACGGACAAACAATGGATTTATATAAAACAAAAAAAAACTAACTATTTTACACTTATCTATTAATTGTATTATAAATAAAATTAAAATAACTAAAATAGTAAACACTGCAATCTTAATTAATTTCTTTGTTTTTGAGAACATATCACACTCTGGCATATACAAAATCTGTTACATATACATGTACATTAGAAGATACATAAATGAAGTTATATAAGTAAATAATAATGTGTACACCTCGAGCAGCAGACAGTAAACAAATAATTCATACACATACATTTATATAACTTTTTTTCAATTCTCTTTGAACTTGTGTATCTGCATAAATAAAAATTTTTTTTTGCGTACAAGTTGTTTAAATCTGTTTACAGCGACCGGCAGGCATGCAAGTTAATTACCACCGGAATTTATAAATGTGAATCTTTACTCAGAACGATTTGCTATGATTACAAAACAGAACTCTTTTGCTTCTTAAGCATCAACATTATTAATAATAATACTGGATACACTCAAGAGGTTTCTATCACGTCATCATTATTGCGTCTCAGTCAAGTGGTTATGTGTGTATATACAGATTTATGCATGTATATTGTACACATATTTTTACGTGCACAAATTCTTCATTGTGTTCTATTGATTTTTCACTACACATTCATTGAGCAACTGTTGTACTTGAATACTTACCAATTTAGGATCATGCTTCCATTCACCATCTACACAAAATTTATATTGATGATCGCCCTCTGGAAGGTCAATAATGGCCACAAAATTTCCATGACTGCGTGCCATTGGTATTGGTTTCCATTTGGAAAATGTGCCGGAAATCATGACATTCTTGCCACCACCATCCCAACGCAGTACGGTGGGCAAGCCCGAATTCCTTGGCAATTCATCGGTGGAGCTCTCCTCTTTATCGTCATTAGAATCAGCAGCTGCTTCCTTTACAGACATTGTACTGCCTGAGTTGTTGTGTAGCGGTGTAGTAGTACCTTCTGAAACAGTATTAGCACGTTTACGTGGGGTGGGTGTGCTAGTTGTATCGGTAGTAGCTGCGCTACCGACTGGCTTCGTATAATACGGTTGATCTTCGTCTTCTTGCGATGAACCTCCGAGCAAGACTGAGCGTACGTTCTTGTCATTTGTTATGTTTTTGTCGAAAGTGAAGGCTTGTGCGCCGCCACTCCCAACCGCGCCAACCCCTGTTGCTGATGCAACTGAATCTCCACGTCCAGCCATCTCCCGAAAGGGAGAATTTGGTGTTGACAGGTCGCTTGACTTATGGCGCTCGCGTTGCATGCTGGTACTGCCTGCATTACCCATAACTGAGGGTGATTCAACACTATCACCACAACTACTTTACACAGCTGACTATAGGTTTAATTTTTATATATATTCAAAACTAAACTGCACTTTGCATTTATTTCTTTAAGACTTATTGATTAAAATGGACGTCAATATTATTTTGGCACACTTTTGGCTTTACAATCGATACTAGCAATTTCTTGGTAGTTCAATGTCGACGGTAAATTTGTTGCTAATTTTTGTTGTTGGCGTTTTATAAGTTATTAAAAAAAAACGCGGAAGCACTTGTTACTTTCTTTGTTCAATTTTCTATTTACCAATTATATGGATTCCATTAAAAAATCGTTACTTTGTATAAAAAAATATATTTATTTTTTAAATAGAAGTAATGTAGTAATAAAACTATAATTTTATTGGTAGTATAAAATAAGTTGGTTGAAAGAAAACTTCAAGAAAATTTCCACGAACACCTTCGTATTGTTTTCCCCTCTTGTTTACCTTTGTTTTGTGCAACACAGGGTTGTATAAAACAGTTTGCTGGGAATAAAATTTCAAAATGTCATAAGTTGTCAAATTTGAATGAACTTTCAAAAAAAAGTACAGAAATTGGACATATTTTATATATTAAACACAGAAACACATAAGTCATTTATAGTTAAAAATAATAAATGTGACAGTATTTTATGTCGATATAATTCCACATAAGAACACAAGTTATAGATTAAAAATGTGTTGAACTTGAGAACAAACCAGCAAGTTAAAATACTGTTACGATTTTACTAAATCAACCTCGATTATTTTCCGAATCCTTCGGGTACGATCTCTGGATTGTTAAATAAAACTCGCCAACTCAATTTGCAGTTTCTTTCGTTATAAAGAATTAATCTAATGTCCTTTATTTTCTCAGTAATTCACAATTCAATTATACTACACTTTACTATTTATAATCACTAACATCAACTTTCACAATTTACTCTACTTAAATGTAAT